AAGGTGTGGGAGGGGTGAGGGATGGGCGAGGAGCGTGGGAGGGGAGGGGTGCGAAGGAGTGGGAGGGGAGAGGCACGATTAATGGGAGGCTAGGCTTGATGGAGAAAGTCGAGAGGCGAAGTTGCGGAACCACGTGGAGCGAGGAACGAGAGGAGGTAGCGAAGAGCGAGGACAGAGAGTGTCAGGCTAGAGTTGAGGGTCGAGAAAAGAGAGCATGGAGAGGGACAGGTCGAGTAAAGAGTACCCGATCTCCTTTTTATATTCCATCCAACAACCCCCATCATATTGCGTGAAGGCAGCGTTTCAGATCGTTTGAAATTTAAGAGTGCACTCTTTCTGCTCTTTAGAAATGTCTCAAAAACGAATGGAAGCGCCACTAAAATAAATTAAACATGAAAAAAAGTTAAGAGCTAATAAAAAGAAAGTAAGTTGGTTTGAAACGTGTTAGCAGAGGCGGTCGCGTGCTGGTGGTGGAGGCGCCGTGCGACGCGGCGTCCGTCGCCTGCCTGCCCAAGTGCTGCCCCAGCGGCCAGCTGCTGGACGCGTCGGGGCGGTGCGTGGAGCCGCCGCTGCGGGCGCTGCCGGCGCGCGACTGGGACCCCGCCGCCTCGGCCGCCGCGCCCTTCCTCGCCCGCGACAAGGTGCCCCTGGCGCGCTTCCGGCCCGCGGGCAGCTGCCACGCGCGCGCCTTCGCGCTGCACCGCCTCACCCCGCAGCAGGTGCGCCCTCCCGCCACACCCTCCCGCCGTCTAAACTTACTTACTGAAGGGCGCTTTTCGACTGCTAAGGCCGTTCAGCGACCACTGTAAGCATTGGAGGAAACGCTAATGATATACGGACACAAACATCCACGCCCCGGGCGAGATTCGAAGCCGCGACCTTTCAGGCATGACCCAGCTTAGCGGCCTTAGCGACTTTGGCTACCCAGGCCGGCAACGCTTTGATTATTTTTATATTCATTTGATATTCATACTTACATCAAGGAGATTTCGTGAATCTCACACGTGCAGTGCCTCTAACCGAGAGGTCCCAGGTTCGAGTCCTGACGGCAGGATTTTCGACTAGCTACGTCGAGTTCAGATGCTGTCTGGAGGAGAATTCTAGCGGCCGGCTGCTCTGGTCGGTATTTTTCCATGGTTTCTCCGATCAACACCAGGCGAATACCTTGACCCAGCAGTACCTTGACAAATGGGCCACGAACCGCGTTCGATCTTTCATTTCTCTTATCCTATTATCAAGTCTTACTTACACACACTTACATGCACTTCACTACCACACATGTCGGGAGATTAGAGCTTGTCCCGGCTGGGGTGGTCCCCGCTGGTAGGAGATACCTGGTTAGGGAAAAAAGCTGTAAGTCGATCGGTAGATCGGCGCTAAATCTTGTCTCCAGCAGAAGATCAGCGCCAAGCACAGCGATAAATAAGCACGCTCTGCACTTATGAAAATAATAACTTTAGCAGTTGATGCGCCCGGAACCGCTCAATTAATTATTAATCAATCAAACAAACGAAAATGAACTTTCCTGACAACAGTACACGATAAGATGTATATAAATCACGGTCGAGATGTTCAAAATTGCAAACATGTTACATTACATTACTTATTACTTCCACATTGTCATTGACAAAAGATAATCATCTTCGATACGAATGTCGTAGAAGTTTCTAACATTCACCCTGCGCCGCCTGTTGCTGTCCCGCGCAGGCCGCGCACTGGCTGGAGCAGCCGGACGTGGAGGAGCGCTTCATGAACGTGCACCGCTGCGCCGACCTGCAGCTGCAGCAGGCAGGGGACGCGGTGGCGGAGGCGTTCGCCAGCTGCGCGCTGCCGGCGCTGGGCCCCGCCTACGCGCGCGTGCGCCCGCTACAGCTGCTGGGCGCGCTGCTGCTGGCGGCGGCGTTGGCGGCGCTGGCGACGGCGCCGGCCCCTGCCCGCCGCAGCGTGCACCGCGTCGCGCGCGCCGCCCACGCCGCCTGCCTGCTGCTCGCCGCGCTCCTGCAGGTCGGCTGGTTCCTCGCCTACCGCCGCAACGACGACTGCGAGTACGTCGGTGAGTCACGCAACGAGTACATTCTTTGCTATCCGGGATGAGCCGCGTCTCGGTCAATTGTGCTGACGTATCGGCCATCTTGCGGTAGCCTTCCTCAGAGCTATACTGCTGCCAAGACTCAACGAGTCCACTGAACGAGTCCTCTGAACGAGTCCACTGAACGAGTCCACCGAACGAGTCCACCGAACGAGTCCACTGAACGAGTCCACTCAACGAGTGATGCCGGGCGAGGCACCTTTTTTTAATTTTTTAATTTAAGGTCGCATCAATATCTAGGTCATTAGCGACCACTATTGGATTTAACGTTATGGTAACTATGAAGATGACATGATACGGTGATGATAAGGGGAGAAAGATCGAACATAAATACAGCCATGCCCGAGGTGGGACTCGAATTCACGATCCTTCAGTCCGAGATTGCTACGACACTACTTCCTTAACGACCTCGGCCATCCGGACGACAAGGCAGCTTTGTTGGTCGTGTTAGAGTGCGGTCCAAGTTCGCACTGCTTTGCTGCGATTGAATAGAGAGACAGTCTAACTCCAACTCACGTTGATAGCCGTTTATTTCAAAATTGTAGAAAGATCTGGTCAGGTACACCTTTCAACTAACTGTACCGTCCCTCTCGTCGGCCGCCTCTGTTTAAACATCCACTGTCTGGCGGGTGATTAAGATCCACGAGCCGCCGTCAGTTGCGCGGTGGACGATCCGTTCTTACGAGGCTGTTCTCACTTTTGAGAGAACTTCCTGCGTGACTCCAAGCGTACACTTGTGCTAACGTGCACAAGTGTTCATGAGTGTGAGTGGATTGGCATGATACATCTAAGCCTGGCTGAGTGCAATGATTCTTAATGCAAAACAATATTTATTATAACTTCCTCCCTCAGCGTATTTCACATTATACAACACAGTTCCCGTAACAGCGTATGTACATGAAGGGGCCGCGACCGGTTGAAACGCCAAGAACTAAATTACTTTCGGCTGTAGTACCACTCACCGAACGTCGCTGTCGGTTTCCCTCTCTCTTGAGGTATCAAGTTCTAAACAAAAAACAACCCTATTGTTAATGAATGTATAAATTAGAGATCAATCGATAATTTTTCTTTGTCCTCCAAGGTTTCTTCTCCGTTTCCAAATCTCCTTCGCCAAGGTTTCGCTACAATAAGGGTTTTATCTAAACATCCCTAATGTCGCTACTATTTGGGTTTTATCTAGCTGATATAATTTGGATATTCAGGAGGGCTACGGTTAGGCGCCCATTCTCTAGCAAACTTTACCCAATTCTCACGTTCACTACCCCGTGTCCATAGTAACCGGCATCATACCGATTCTTCACTCAACTGTTCTTTTTCACGAGCTACACACAACTTCTACAAAATTAATATATTCATATCATAACTCTTATTCCCGTAAGTTAAGGGCGTATTATAACCCGTTAGGTTATGGCATCCAACATGTGTTGAGATATCTGGCTTTGGCACTACGACTAGAACAAGATCTGTCGATGCTTCCTACAACTACAGGTTCAACGGACAGCAGTCACTACTCCTCAGCAGTCGTGTAGAAAATGGAAAAGTTGCGTTCAATTCTACACTGATGTTGAATTATCTTAATTTATTTCATTCGTGTCGCTACGTAGACACTCGAGATTCCCAGAAGACCACAGATACAGCGCGGGCTATTCAAAATATATAGTTTGGTGATTCAGTAGCCTAAACGTAGACAGTGATACAACAAAATTGGGATAATGAAGAAGGTCAAATAAGAAAACTGTACCTTTCTTTCTAAATGCCTTTATTCCTTTAGTGTCAATAGTACTCTACATGACATACAAACGCTTGCTCACTTGTGAGACGCGTGTACATATGTCTGAAGTGTATAGTCCAACGACGTAATCTCCGAAACAATCCCCCTCACGTGTAATGAGAAATGAGGAAGTCACCAAATATCTTCCTCAAAACGAGTGGATATTCCGAATTATGTGGCATTGCTGTTGCAGTGACTTTAGTTTGTGCTTTTTTCTGAAAGCACCACCCACTTAAAAAGCTGATCAGCTGGTCAATTCAATCAATAAAATTGTAGATGACATGCGTGATAGATTTAAATATTTTATGAGTATAAATATTAAGGAATATATTTTCTTCGACTTCTTTTTATTCACGTATAATTTATGTAACGTATAATTACCCAAACAATTGTATTTATAAAACATACTAACGAGACAGTGAAACAATGAAAAATTCATTATTCAAATAGTAAACCATTACTGACAATCGGAGAAAAGTCACATTTGCATTTGTTAACGTTTTTGTTGGTTTTAAGTATACGTATTTGATTTAACAATGGTTGAGATATATAGTAGGAGAAATATAATAAACAATAACATAAAACTGATATTTAATTTTTGTTTTCAGCCTTCTTCACTTACTTTTTTCTCGTGGCTACAGGAAGCTGGCTCAATGTTATGGCTCTCAACTTAGCTTGGAGATGTTGGTAAGTAATTTGAATAATGGAGAGTTGTTATTCAAAGTATTTGTCCCATGACTATGAAACCACCAATTTAGTCACATGATTGATGCAGTATTTATTATTGAAGACGGGAGACAAACATTTTTCCATTGTGATAAAATGTCCTTTAAAGCAGATACATTATATTAAGCGACTTTTCTCCCCTTTTCCGAGTTCTCCCCACTTCTCATTTTGCGGCGTTCATTCCCCTGTTTTTCTGATAATTCGAAGTGAATACTGAATACTGCGGTTCATGTATTTTGAAGAATGTAAAGGCCTATACACGGTCGGAACAAAATAAATTTCTCTTGTAAACATATGCTTAAAAATGGATGTAAACAGACACAATGTAGAAAAGAAATTCAATATATTTTGCGTGTATTTATGTTTTTGTTATATTTGTATGACCTTGTTTTCTTAATTTTCAATTAACTACATCGTAATTAAGACTTCAAAAATGATGTAAACAGGAAGATAATGGACAGGGACCACGCCTAGCATCATCCTCATCGCCTGCTTTTTGCTATCATTTGACTATCTCTTTGAAATAGTAATCACGGAAGGCATCAGATCGACCGTAGAAGTCACCCACAATAAGACGAACACAAGTGTTTTATGACGTTTTCTCCGTCTTTTCATTTTTACTATAGAAGAGTTTATCGACGAATAGGTTTTTTCACAACGTCCAGAATGTTGTGATTTGCGAGTCGAATCGATAAGCATCTTGCTAAATATGTCCGGAGAGAATGTCTGTTCGGAAGAAAATGACATCAAAAGAATATTAGTGAATTGGTGCGATCGCGCGCACATCCTCGTATGCCCGTACACATGCAGTGCGCTACGTGGTGAGATACAGAATGCGACGAAATGCAAAAACGTTATCCAAACACTTCCTTGACACCGAAGCTGAAACGATGCAGGAATTATTTCTTTGTAACTAGTGGACCCGGTAATACTTCGCTATTGCAACGTATTGCACTTCACACGCTACTTGTCTGCGATTGTGAATAACTTATTAAGCTAAGCCAAGTAAAATTTTAATAGATGAAAGACTTTCTCGCGAATATGGGTTTGTTCTATGTCCTGGCATGGACATGACAGTCAAGTAACCTATTATTGAAACATAATCCTTAAAGTCTGGGCATGCATTCGCCGTCACTGTCTTGGAGAAATTTGATTTACTTGCCCGATATAACGTTCAAATAATATTTCCGGACGATATTTTACAATCTCAGGGGCAGAATATGCAGCCAAGACGCCCTTAATACTGGAAGGCGCGGCGCGTTGCATAAACCTTCTGTTCAGGGGCGCCTGGTTCCGCATAAACGCATTAAATCACGATCAGCACGCGTCATACGCACATTCCCATACAGACATACGCATACATTCTTTACGAAAATGCAAGCAATAAGTTGAATAAATTGTATCGCAACCGGATGAATGGTACGGCAGTGCATAAAATACGAATGAACAAACAATCCAACATAGATTTTTATATATTATATTTTCAAGTGTTATTGGTACTAAATCTTTATAAATTTCTACACGTGTTTAATTGTATGTGTGTTTGAGGTGTGTTCTATTAGGCTAAACGTGTGCAGTGTGCACGCTCGGTTATGAGTTACTTTCCGTGTAGCATACAGCTTTGCCCTTAAATGAATTCTTCAGCGCATAGTATTGCTTGATTTATTTATATTCCGAGTGGTGTGGTGTCGCCAGGCGTCCGGCCGCCGCGGGGGGCGTGGCTCGGGCCGGGCTATGGCGGCGCCTGGCCCCGTGGGCCGCCTACGGCTGGGGGCTGCCCGCCGCGCTCGCCACCGCCTCCGTCGCCGCCTTCCTCAACCGCGAGGCCCTGGACCGCGCCGGCGCCGTCTCGCCATCCTTCTTCGAGACGCGCACCTGCATGGGCGAGCACAGGCTGTCCCTGCACGGCTCGTGTACGTACCCCCCCCCCACACACACACACACACACTCCGCTGCAGTATGCGAGTAACACACAAGCTGGATTGATTCATTGATTACTAGTTCCTAGCGCGTCAATTGGTTCGGTCATTAGTGCCGTAAGTGTAGGGCGTGTTTTCATCGGTGGTCGTGGTGCTGATGGTGGCAGTGGTGCTGGTGGTGGTGGTGGCGGCGGTGGTGGCGGTTGGGGTTGCGGTGATCTTCTCCGTTGGAGGCGAGATCCGGGGCCGACCTATGGCGGCTTGCGAGGTTTATCCCCAAACAAGGGGCTACCACAAGCGGGGCACCGCCCCAGCCGGGATAAGCTGTAAGCTCCCAACTGGTCTCCTGTGTGATAGTGTAGTGCATGTGAGTAAATAAGAGAATATGTTAGGACCAGGAAGAGGAAGGAGAGGTCGTGCCGCGGTCCATGGCCCGTTTGTTACGGTACTGCTCTGGCATTCGCCTGCTGTTGATCGGAGAATTTACAGAAATCTGATCAGAGCAGCCGGCCGCTAGAATTCTGTTCTGGACAGGCTGAATATGACACAGCAATGTAGCTGTCGAAAATCCTGTGACAACGGGGACTCGAACCCTACGACCCCCGGTCAGAGGCACTGCAGTGACAACATACAAGCCGGATTTTGTTGAATTAAAAGAAACAAAAAACTATTGTACAATAACTTCCCCTTCCGTCTTTGCCGTCTATAAAATATTACTTTCTCGACTATAGAGGCACAATAACCAATGCTAGCGAAATGTAACATGAAGAAAGAAACAATTAGCTTCCTTTATTTCAAACCGATCTTAATCTTTCAATGAATAATTTCAATAATAGTCTAAAACCATCCCCCTAAACAGTAAAATGTTCCAAGTGCCGCTAAGGACTTCAGTGATGGGCTTAATTGCCACTGCGGCGTTAAGGCTGGGGTAAGTGCCCCAACGAGCAAAATGAGTGGTTGTAAGTCCACAACCTAGGGTGTTAACCAACGTTAAAAGTCCAGTGATGATGATGAATTAATAATCTGTAACGTAAAACGAACAGGCGTGTTCGTTTGTAATGTAATACTTGTAATGTAATACTTTTGGTGTCAGGTTTGCATTTCAGTTGAAGTTCCCGTTTCCTGCTAAGATGTTCTTGGGTAAATTGTTCCTGATGTGGTTTTCCGCTCCACGAGCGTTGTCGCGCCAATACAGAAGTTCTTTTTGATCTCTACCTAGCGCAGGCCCTTCTTTCTATGACTGCTATCTTAGGAATCTGCTTAGATGCTTTTGATGTAAAGGAGGCAGCGGCCGCTCATAGCTTTACATTCAGGGGAGGCTGACAAAATACCTTGTTCCTCTCTCCACTACCATCGTAGCCTAATTGAACTTAGCCTTGTGTTTTTGACTGAACGGGTTAATATTTATTCAAGGGGCGTTTTTTTCAGCCACTTTGAATATGGGAGCTGCTCTCTATTACTACGTGCCCATGGGTATCCTGATGATTGTGAACGTTGCCTGCATGTGGTGCAAGACAAGCCGGGAGGCGGCCCGGCAGAAAGACTCTCTGCTACTTGAGGGGAAAGCCACCTCTGACATCTCAGTCAGTGAAATGCGAAGGTAACTAACGTTTTCTTTATAACATTATATACTTTATTTGCATACAGTTATTTCAGTTGTGAGAAACGGCAGCTCATTAGCTGATTCGTACCGTACAGCAGTTGTACACCAGCTCTACAACTGTAGGCCAAGCATTTGTAATGAACGCTTTCCAATGGCAATTCTTCTACTGTGTGTTTCTTAATATCCGCATACGGAGAATGCCACAGTGATTGGAAGGCCGAGAAACATGATGTCACCCAATATTACACATTTCGACATTTTGTTTTCCAAGTAACACTTAATTGAACATTTTGTGCCTCACGATATACCGTGTGAACTCGCGTATGGTTAGTTACCGTAAGAACAATATTCACTCACTAGTATGATGTCTATATTTCGAAAACAATTGCGCAATAATCAATTACTAGCATAATTTAATTTGCGACAAGGAACGTGAAAACTACCGTCTTTTCTTATGACAGCTCTTGTACCGGAGAACGTCGATACTGGCGAATGATAAGCTAGAACTCCGCTTCGGAGTGGTTGTCATTGAGAAGGAAGTTCGAAGGTCGTGATATAATCACCATCGCCTTTATAGCTTCTTCGAAAGAAATCTTCAGGGAATAGAATCAATATGTCCGGGGTGTATGGCAGTACAACAAGTAACACGTCGCAAAGCTTCATTGCACATTCCCCCAAAGTTTCGGCAGTCAGGACAGCCACGGCGGCGTGTATCCCTCGACGTCGTCAGGTTGGGTGTGTGTGGCGGTCACTTTCCTATGTTTTCTATGTTTTAAAGAGATTTTAAAATAAAAACATAACTGTCTTTAAAATAGGGGGGACCCGACTTCTCTTCTATTACACGAGCCAATGTTTCGGGGGTGTCAAGCTTGCACAATCACTGTAGCACAATCACATCAAACCAAACGGAATATTTAATACTCATTTATTACTAATTTATTACTCAAAAAATAAATTTATTACTCTCGCCGTTAATGTAATAAGCTTATTTTACACAGTGATTGTGCTAGCGTTACTGTCAAGCGGTCGCAACAATATAAAAATAAAAACTGGTACAATTTATTCAAATAAAAAAAACGAATATTCAGTATTAATTTATTACTCAAAATGTAATTTATTACTGCTGCCGTATATTAAATAAATATTGTTACAAACGGCATAATTGTGCAGACATGAGTACAAATGGACACAAACAAATAAAACGAAGTAGATAATTAAACACACATTCAACACCAGCAGCGAAATAAGGGCTCTTTATTCGGACCCTTTCATAAAAGTGTATTGCAAACACGAGAAGTGTTGGTACCTGAAATAATAAAAATATCCCCTAAACATATGCTGTCTTTTACCTGGGCCCACCCGCATTGCGGGCCCGAACGTTACGCCTCTGTTTCATCCTAAATACTTACCCCGAACTGAATTGCCTTACTGCCCCGTTGTGGCGGCAGGGCGCAGCTGCTGGTGCTGTCGCAGTTGGCGGCGCTGGCGGCGGAGGCGGTGGCGTGGGCGTTGCGGCCGCAGCAGCCGCAGGATGGCTCGTTCGTGGCCACGTGGGAGGGCTCGCTGCAGAGCGCGTTCGCCTTCAGCCTGGCCGCCACCGCGCTCGACGTGGCGCGCGCCGCCGCCCTCCTGACGCTCAGCGTGGACGCCGGCACGTGGGAGCGCGCACGTGCGCACGTGGCGCGCTGGCGGCCCCGCGGGCACGTGGCACCGGCGGCGACGCCGGCCGTCGCTCAGGAGACCGTCGCCACGCGCTGCTGACCGGCGCTCGCCGCCGTGATGGATTCTTATCCCTTGTCGTACCCAGCGACATCCACTTAACTTCCTCCTACCTGAGTGGGCAAGATGAGACTCACGAGACCACGGAGAATGGTAATCGCCGATCCGCTAATCCTCTGGGCAAAGCGGATATGCAGTAACAAAAGGAACTTATACAAGCATCGTAAAGAATTGAAATAAAAAAAAACTTAATACAAAAAGTGAGGTTTTGAAATATTAGAACTGTTGCTAGAGCTTCATATCCATGTGCATCCATATCAACTATCCATGTGCTGTTTATGTTGTTGTGAACAAAATCAGCCCTTGTCCTTAGTTATTAGCTCCGAATGTTTGAGTGATTTTAATAAAAGAACCGTAGTTCAGAGACTTATTTAGTAAAAGCACCATAGACCTTTAAATGTAAGTTTTTTCCGTTATTATTTCTCAAGCATAGTTAATCTTCTCTTCTCTCTGCAACGAGTTAAAAAAATATATATTTTGAAAATGTGGTTATTCTGCATAACCAATATTTTTGTTTTGGATGTTTGATGATAGTGTATAACGTCTTTTTGTGGCGTATGCGTCCTCTGTGTTGCATTTGAGCAAGCAAGGGAGAAAGTAACATCTACGAAATGGATTCTTCGTTAGATGTGGAAGAGACGTAACAAAAGAAAGAGAGGGAAAGAGGATGTAGTAAGTGAAAAGAAGGTTGAAAGAGAATCACGTTAATCACAAAGGAAATTTCGGGAGTTTTCTACATATTGACAATAATACGCTAACAGAGATTTGTATCTAAATTTATCGTCAGTGGCAGATGCTAATGTTAAAGAGGAAAACTTTGATAATGATAACAGTAGCGAATTATACCAAATTGGTCAATGCTATTCCAAATTGATGAAGTGCATTAACTTCTTGCGCTATTGCTTCTAATATTAATATATTCTTGCCCCAAATAAATAGTTTTGAAATACAAATTTCTCAATTTTTTTGAGAGAGAAAAACAAACAACAAACACCACAGTCAATACACCCTCCAATTTATCCAGTAATTTCCACAATGCAATTCGAGCTTGAACTACATTCAAGCGTTCATCAATATTTCAAATAGCTTGAGAAAATGCAAAACAATTTTTTGCTTCATATGTCCACCAATTTTGTCATGGAACGTTTTTTCGCTTTCCTGAAAAATGTGTTTTTATACAATGATAGTTTTGTTTGGAAAACCTTCAATTGTACAAGCTTACGCAATATACTCCCTTCGATGAGCGTTTCTCATGAGGGATCTTTCAACGGGTACAGGTCATAATCTGTCCTGATTTTTTTTCTATTGATATTCACTATTTATATGTGCTGTGATAAAATTGCTGCCGTTGCGCACTGGAAGTTGCTGGAACAAAAGGTCACTATTGGCGGCGTTGCTCGCTATCACCATTGATAGCCCTTTATGAAGCCAACAGTACGAGTATTACCGCAAACGACTCAAATTTGTTCTGTCATTGCTCGCTAGGATATCTACTTACCGGTTATGTCTGGCAGAATGCTGGGTGAAAAATAGTTCATTTCGGGGAACATTGTTGCCCGTTATAACTAAATCTGCGGATTTATTTTGTTTATCCATCAGTTAGTTACTAGGGATTCTCGTAATTAGTATGGCAATCAATAATTTTTTATTAATCGGTACAGTTAAATCGAATAAATTTAGGCCAATTAATCTATACATCAATTTAAAACTACGATTATGAAGTTAGATTATTTACAATTTCAATTTTAAAATATTATTTACGATTTACTTTAACATTTTTAAAAATTCTAAGCTTATATTCGGATTTAATTTAAAAAATACCGCCAATTCGGCTCAAATCGAGCTTCATTAAAAGCATCTGCTGATGACAAATAACATGCGGCAACGCAGTTTTGAGTGACCCCGAAGGCCATGTATGGCTTATTGATTACAAACATTGTAATGAACCAGTCTTCCGACCGGCTTCCGAGTCGCTCAGAGTCATCTTGTACAAAACAGTGACTCTCACAACATTTTTGTTTTTCGGGCTAATTCCCCTGGCGACATCAAAATGGATTCTGACCTAAAATTTGTGTGATGGCTTATCGGGATGTATAAGAAGCGCATTCAACAAAACTATACAGTGATGTGTCTTTGACAATAATAATCTAAGAATGGCACACAATATGAAATATACTTGCATGCCGCGGGAATATTTTGGCATCACATCGTGTTTCTGTTTCTCAATGTCGAAGAACTAGTGGCCGGAAGCATAAGTTCTGTGCCGCGCGGTTTGAGGGCTTTCCAAGGTCGTGAGCAATGTCATAAGCAATGTCACTACCCTTAATTGGAGCTCGTGCCCATAGTATCGCTTGTTCCCTCGTCTCTCATTGTAGTCAGTGCTGAACAAATTCCTCCGAAACGACGATTTGCGCAGTGTATTTAAAAAAATCAGTAATGTCTACTGCAAGATGGCACATTATTTTTCCGTAGCATATAGAAATAGTAAATATTTATCTATTAAAAAATATGAGGCAGATTTCGACCTGGACCTGTTGAAAGTTTGGATTCGTAGAGAAGTAAGACCACCATGGTGAATGTTGATCCTCACTGTCACAAGATAGGAGATATTTTGTACTGAAACGTTAGAATTATTTCATTGTTTTATGGATATTCCAGCAACATATAAGACAATTTCACGTTTGATTAATCAATTGCAAAATTTTAAATTATTGTAATTTTCTTAAGCGGCATCATCGGCAAACATAGTAGGACTGATAGTGAGAAAAATGAAATAATGTCTAATGAATATTGATCCTGTTTGGTTCCAATATCACATAATGTTATGGTACATTATGTATGGTACCTTATTTCTCGAATCATAATTATTAAAATGTTTTATAAAAGTTTTTGACCTGCATGAATGCATTTCAATACCCGTTAACCTGACCGTCAATAGTTTGACACCCACACCCACCAACACCCAAACCTCTCTACTTCTCCATCATACAATGACCCCTGACTGCACCAAATAGCTCAGTAGGTGAAAATATTTGCTTCAACATCTGTGGTTTGCGGCGAACCTAAGCATTCCTTGCTGTTGTCAAGTAATTATTGGATAGCACTGTAAGCTCGTAAATATTTTCTTTTTGGTATTGTATTATTCCATGTTCTTTGATTCTTGGTCTATTGTTTTTTCTTTGAGCTCAAGAGGACACTATTAAAAAATCGATAAATCAAGAAAGAACTGCACACAATGTTGAATGTAGTTGTTAGGTATATGCTACTATCCCATTGAAAATGGTGTAATGGGATTTGTAAGTAGTAGTTGAATTTGTACATTATTTAATATTTCTTTGTACATTTCTTACACTCAATATATTGTTATACATTTACATATTAATCTTTTAGAAAATTGTTTACAACAAATTGAAAATGTATGAAATGAAAATTGCTAACCTTCAGGAAATATAAGATTGGAATGCAACAATGGCATTTCCCATCGAGACTCCGAATTTCTGTGAAATACGTCTCATTTTTGTGACATGATTAAGTTGTACGAAAAGAAGTTATAAATGTAAAATTTACGTTAATATTTGCACCAAATATTTAGTTTTCGCACCAAATGTTCTAGGATTTGAAATGAGTTTTACAAAAAACGATGACTGTTAATTCGAAGAGAAATAATGGTGTAAATAACCATTCCTAAAGGCGAGAAAGTACGGACTGTTTTAGCACCTCTAGTTTAAACAGGCAGAGAAATAATCTCCCTACTAGGCTACAAATTGAAAAATATATTTAAAACTCTTATCTAAAAATAGTATCCCCTCGTTGGCTTGAGCAACATCCCAGACCGAACATTTCGCAAGCGTTCAAAATAAAATAAATAACGCAATTTTTATCAATAAACGTCGAATAAAAATCACCTACACCAGCACGAGTGCGTAGGCGAAGACGGAGTTGATGGCGAAGACGGCGTTGTTGTTAAGGCGAAGACGGCGTTGTTGTTAAGGCGAAGACGGAGTTGTTGTTAAGGAGAAGACGGAGTTGTTAAGGCGAAGACCGAGTTGTTAAGGCGAAGACCGAGTTGTTGTTAAGGCGAAGACCGAGTTGTTGTTAAGGCGAAGACCGAGTTGTTGTTAAGGCGAATACGGAGTTGTTGTTAAGGCGAAGACGGAGTTGTTGTTAAGGCGAAGACGGAGTTGTTGTTAAGACGAAGACGGAGTTGTTGTTAAGGCGAAGACGGAGTTGTTGTTAAGGTGAAGACGAAGTTGTTAAGGCGAAGACGGAGTTGTTGTTAAGGCGAAGACGGCGTTGTTGTTAAGGTGAAGACGGTGTTGTTAAGGCGAAGACGGAGTTATTGTTAAGGCGATGACGGAGTTATTGTTAAGGCGATGACGGAGTTGTTGTTAAGGCGAAGACGGCGTTGTTGTTAAGGCGAAGACGGAGTTGTTGTTAAGGCGAAGACGGAGTTGTTGTTAAGACGAAGACGGCGTTGTTGCCGAGGAGAAGACGGAGTTGTTGTTAAGGTGAAGACGCAGGTAAAGAAGACGGTGTTGGTTCACTCGTAGTGGCCCACCTGCACCAGCACGAACGCATAGGCGAAGACGGAGGGGCGTGGCAAGAAGTCGTTCACACGTAGTGGCCCACCTGCACGAGCACGAGCGCTTCGGCGAAGGCGGAGGGGCGTGGCAAGTGGTCATTCACACGCAGTGGCCTACTTACACCAGCCCGAGAGCGTAGGCGAAGACGGAGGTGAGGAAGGCGGAAGGGCGTGGAGAGTGTTGGTTGACACGTAGTGGCTCACCTGCACGAGCGCGTAGGCGAAGACGGAGGGGCGTGGCAAGAGTTCGTTCACGCGTAGTGTCCCACCTGCACCAGCACGAGCGCGTAGGCGAAGACGAAGGGGC